AAGAATAACTACAGTATTATTACAATTTTTGAAAGCTTTAGTGGTCCAAACCAACTGATCAACAGGCCCTATGCTCTGCCTGCCACAGTGGCCATCAGCGAACGCCCCAGGAGCAGCGAGTACAGGCTAAACTTGTGTAAGACTTGCCCTAAGCACTTTTCCAGCTTCCAGATATTTTCATTTCGGGGGATTTCAAAAGCTGCTGTTGTTTGTATGTTTAGGGTGTGCCTACATTAGCATTTTAATTTGGAGCAGGAGTCTATCTTAAAGTGAAGAGCTTTGTCTCAACAGAGCAGTCCTAGAGGTCCCAACTGAAGTCCTTCCAAACTAACCTGGAAGTTGTCCACCAGGACAGCTCCTAATTCCTAAACTATTCCTAATAGCTTCCTCTAATCCTTATTGAGGATCCTCAGGACACCAGATCAGACTGGATCTGTAATGAAATGACATCCCAGAAACAGGCAGCGAAGCCTGGGGTTGTTACCACTGCTTGTTTGGTCCCACAGACACAACCTGCTAGCGCAGAGATGGCCATAGCACCCCTGAAATCCTCTCTTCAAAGGACCTGTCCAGGCTCCTCTTGAACTTTTGTAATCTTTACATACAAGGAAGACATATTTTACAGTGAGGGTAGTGAAACACTGAAATAGGTTGCCCAGAGAGGTGGTAGACACCCCATCCCTGGAAGCATTCAAGATCAGTCTGAATGGGCCTCAGAGCAACCTGATCTAGTTGAAGAAGACCCTGCTTATTGCAGGTTGGGTTGGACTGAATGACCTTTAAAGGTCCCTTCCAACCCAAACTGTTCCATGGTTCTGTGATTCTTGTAACTCAACTCCTTCTTGTGCTTAACCTGGCTGCTGCTGGCTTCCTTTGGTTATCTTGCTTTAGCACTGGGACACACAGTGGAGTGCTGATCCTTACCCCCTTTCTGCTCATGATTTTGTGGGGGGCTGGGTTTTCTCCTGCACTTTCATGTGTTTGTGATGCTCAGGAACAGGATAAAAATAAATTCAATGCTTTAGAAAGATATTAATTTCCCTTCGCTAATATTAAAGTCTGTTACTATGAAGTTAGCTGAGGTTGAACAAATTAACCTCCTCCTATCAACAAAAGTAGAATAATGGGTATAACAGTAACGTGGTTTGTGACTGTATAGCTTGACTTCAGCAAGGCTTTTGCTGCCCTGACAGTTAAATCTTTTCACTTATAAGCAAACCAGGCTGAAGCAGTCTAGTAGAAACTCCAGCAGAATGATAGAAAGCTGTTTAGGAAACCATGTCCAGAGAGAAGTCAGTGAGAGCTTGCTGTTAAAATAGAAGGATGGCTACAGCAGCATTCCTCAATGTCTGCCTTGGACCCAGCATTTTCATTAATCATTTAGATGACGGAACAGAATGTGTTTGCCTATTAAATATGTAGATGACACCATGCTGAGAGGGGCTGTGAGTTCTTTGGAGACAGGATGAGAACTCAAAAAATGGAGATGTGATATGAATAGGAGCAGGTGTGAGGTATACATTTAGGCAGGAATGATGAACTGCACAAATGCGGGATGGGGAATGTTGGCAGCTCCTTCCAGGCTCTACCTTTCCCTGCGAATTGCTCTCAGTACTCCAAATGCTAGTGGCACACCAAGTACCCTCAGCCGCTGTTGTTTTTTGTGCTCCAGAATTTGTCAGGGCTTGGGCTTGTCTCAAGGCTCAGGGCTCAGCTGGATACTGGATTCTTTAATTTGATTTCCTTATGAGGACCTGAGTGCAACCATTGAACAGAGAGCTGCTAACCCAGCTGTGCACATGGAGGCTGCCCTGTTGAGCAGCCTTTATCCAAAGACTACATACTGTGGTTTCCGTTTACATACATGGAGTAAGTTTCTTGCACATGATGTCAGGTTTCAGTCCATTGGTTGCTGCCATCTGGCACACTCATCATAACAGACTGGTCACTGTGGCTATCTCCTGAGTAGGCGCAGAAGCTCCGGATATTAGCAGTGTTGTGTATTCAGTTCATGTGTGACGTTTGGCCAGGTCTTTGAGAAACAACCAGTTAGGTGTTGCTTCCTCTTCGGAAGATGATCTAGGGATTTATTGAAAATATTGCAGAAAATGCACATTTTCTCCTGCCAAGTGGTGTCCAGGGGAGGCCATGCAAAATAAAGCTTTGCTCTAATTCACTTTGGATTATTGTGTACTTTTTGGAGAGAAAATTGAGAGCAATAGTCAAAGCCTAGAAAAGAGGATTGTCAGGGAAGAGTTAATGTGGCAACAAAAGGGATATTAGAACAGTCTTCAAATGCATGCAAATTCAATGAAGGGAAGAATTTTTTCCCTACTTTCAGAAATGGAACTTAAATTGCTATAGTGAATGTTGAACTTGTATGTTTTGTTTCTATTGGTATGGCTGTTAAAGAAGCAGCATAGATTGCCTGGAGAGATCCGTAAGAAAAAGAAGGGCGAATGTCTGCTGGGAATGATGCAGGTACAGTGGGCCCCAGAAAGGTGGGCTAAGGTGTGCCAAGCCAATCTTGGGATCCTGAGGTAGGGTTGGGAGTCTTTCTGTCAGGTAAGGGTCTGTCCCATCCAGACAGATGACTTGCACCTGAGAAGGGAGCCTCCACCCAAATTTCTAGCCCTGTCTTTGAAACTTTGATTGCAGTGTACTTAAATGAAGATGTTTGCAAAAATAGAAAGCTGGATGGCTGTTACAAACAGAATTCCCTGCCCTCACCATGCTGTGGTCTGGTTTTAGGTTTACTTGGTTTTATTTGTCATGAAGTTTTGTTTATACTTTTTCCATGCTGTTTCCTATTTTATTTAGTAGTGTTATTGCTACCCTAAGTTTTAATACTTAAAATTTTTAGGCATATCATGTCTGTGAGAAGAATTTTAGAAACCAGGATGTAAAACAAAACTCCTAAAAATACTGTCAGAGGCTAAGAGCAACCTTAATTTAGATTAGTCACTAGGGAATGCAATTTTTCATTAGATCTGAATTTTAGAGCACATATTTAGAACATCACTGGCCAGTATACCTATTGAAGAAATTTCAGTCTGTTTTTTTTTTACTTGGCTGTAATTTATTTCAAAGCTTTTGCATGTTTTGTTCCCCTCTCTCCTCACCTTTTTTTCTTCCTTTAAGGATTTTAATAATAAAAATAATGTATAGCAGATAAACTCATTTAAGTTTAAAAGGCTGGAAAAATTTGCACTAGTTGAGTTATGATTTCGTATTTTCATTTTGTATAGTAGGTGAAAGAGCAATTGACATTCAAAGTATTAATTTAAATATTCTGAAGTGTACATTGTCATAGGAAAAAAATGTATATTATTTTTGGGATGCACATGATCTTCAACATTTAAACCTCTGTCTTCAGTTACGTAGACTGACATGGCTGGATGATTTTTGTTGTTTGGCACATACACAAAATCACTCTTTTAGGTATAGGTTAAGTCTTTTTGGAAGATTTTTTGAAGATTCCTTGAGTTACATCTTAATGTATTCCAATTTGTTTAATGTACACTGAGATACTCGGGTAAAACTATAATATAAAATACTCACTCATTTCCATTAAATGTAGATTTGAAGGCTGAACATGAGGGCTTCAAGACTTTTTCCTTTCATTCAGCACAAGCAACCATTATTATTTTGAGTAATTGTAAATATCTGGTGTTACACAGATGTCCAGAGTCTACTCCTTAATCTAACCTTTGACCCAAACAGGATGTTTTTTCAGGAGAAAGAATCATTTGTGTGAGAAGTATACCTGTTTGTTCAAACTGAAATGCCATGGTCTAGGCTGATTAAAAAGTAAATTAATATTGATACAAATATCCACATGTACTGAACTCTAAAGAGTAGAGAAGTAAAACTGAGAAGTAGAATTAATAAATATATTGTATGCTGAAAATTCCAGTTGCCTTCACAAAAGTTATGATTTTAGGGAATAAAATTAACAATAACTGTCAAAATAAAAGTCTTTTCTCTGTGAACTTAAGACTATGAAAGACAGTCTTGAAAAGATATTTTAAAATGTGTTATTGCATTTCTGAGGAGTATGGTACTTCTAGTTAAACGAGTTAGGAAGGATAAATTATGCTGAGTGTCTGCTTTGTTAATATTCAAGCACTTCACTGTTCCTGAGTCTGTGGATGTTAAGAATAGTGAAATATCTTCCACCTAGCATGTTTTCAGGAAAACTTTGTTGTTCCTACATACAAAATTAATAATTCATTTTTACCTGTTCAATAACAGTAAATATTTTTGTACCTTAATTTTGCTGAAGCATAATAGTTGTGTACAATACTGTTTATAAAGAATTGGATCCTGTCTTGAAGGTACTCATTGGAAAAGCCTTTGTGTAAGCCTTTGAAGAATACTATAAATTTCATCTTTGTAGTTGATGCATATTTAAAACTTATTAATTGAACTTGCCCTGGGAAAATAAGGATTCTATTTTATGACAGATTTAGAAATAATTATATTAATCTGGCTCAAATGAGTTCTGGTTCTAAAAGTAAAGCATCTGCAACCAGGCAATTTGGAAAAGTTTTCAATTTCTGTATAATACCTTTTTTCACACTTGGATTTTTTTTTTTCTAGCCTGTCACTGTAATGGTTATCTTAAAGCATATTTGAAAGCTTAGAGTTAAATAATGTTCTTTTTTAAAAAAAGCTGGTATCGCTTTAAATTGTTCATTTAAAGTTTAATCTTGTCTATGAAGTGATATAATCTTACCTATGATTTGAAGGAATGAAGATTTTTTTTACTTCTTTTTTATTTGTTTTCTGAAATAATTTATCTCTCTGTTTTTACATATACCTAGAACTCCATTTAATTAATTTATGTATTAGTATTACCACTTATCATTGTAGATTTAATTATTTTAGTTAGGACTCTTTAGTGAACATCTTGTTTTTAGTGTCACATGTAAAAAGCAAGGAAGTTAATAATTTTGAAGTTTAAACTGAAAGTTAAAAATTACATTTCTTTGTTACAGCAGAATACAGTACAATCCACAGTCCATCAACACCCATTAAAGATTCTGATTCAGATAGATTGCGTCGTAGTTCAGATGGGAAATCACGTGGACGTGGCAGAAGAAACAATAATCCTTCACCTCCACCTGACTCTGATCTAGAGGTACATTACATTAGATGTCTTTGACCTGTTGTAGACTCTATTTCTATTACTGTTTTGCAGAGAGAAGTATTATTTACACATAAAATGTAAAGTGGCATTGGGCATCCCTTTCTTTTTGTTCTAACAGTTTTTTTTGTAGAAGATAGAATTTTCTTCATGAAGAAGTTTCTTTAGAAGAGCACCTACTTCCTCTGAAAAATAATAGATGTTTTGTTTTCCTTTTGATTTAAAAAAAAAGCAAGCTTTTCCCAAGTGAAAGAAAGGTTTGCATTTGGACAGGAGACACTTCTAGCACAATAGTGTGTTTTGTTTTCTCAAGCTATGTTCACACTCCCCTCAGTGGCCCATGCTTGGTGTTGAGAACACATCTCCACTGACATACCACAGCTATGAGTGTCCACGTTGCATTACTTTTCCTTTCCAAAAGCTTAGCCCATTTGTCATCATGGGAAAAAAAATCTCACCAGGATTTAAAATACATGTATTTGAACACTTTATTTTTCACTAAAATATCATTTTGTGTGTGGTCAGAGGACAAATTTGCAACACATTATTTTCCATTGGCTGTAAGCAAGAGAATTATTTACTGATGCCATAAATTCTTACACATGCAACATCTAACTTCATAATTTTCATACTTCAGGTGCCTAAAATCCATTAAAAAATGAACATAGATTAAGGGGATTTAAGTATGTAGCAGCAATTTAGCTGTATTTTGCTTTTAGAGATAATTTCCAAGTGCAGTTATATGAACTTTGTTTTGTAAGACTTGCAGAAATACAGAATTCAAACCCAGAAGATTTAATTTTCAGAGGCTTCTCTCAATTTATTTCAGTTTCTATCTTACATCTGGCTTTAAAATAATACATTGTACATCTCATTTTCTCTGTGTATTTGACAGTAACTATAATTTTATTCGAATAGAATAATTTTATATAATAGCAATTGTAATAAGAAGAAGCTAACAGATTGTATTACCCTATTCTGGAAAAAACTTGTTAGTTCTGAAAATAAATGGCAAGGAAACTATGGTTTTAGTATATAACCATTTCAATACAATTTTCTCATTTATGAGATTTTCTCATCACTTACTGATTCAAATTTTAACTTTCCATTTCAAGTATCAGCTTCACAGAGAAACACATTGATTTGATTCTCTTTTTACAGAGAGTATTCATTTGGGATTTGGATGAGACAATCATCATTTTCCATTCCTTGCTTACAGGGTCCTATGCCAACAGATATGGAAGGGTAAGTGTCAAGAAACTGATGGAAATTTTCAGTAGTATTTGCTATTTTATAGTTGATGCACAAGGAAGATGAGAACAGTAGTTGATTTTCCAGAGATAAAGTGGTACTGGTGTTTCAAGACATAAAAAAATGAAGGAGTAAAGCTGTTTCACATGTCCTTTCTTTGCACTTTCTCAGCTTTTATATTCAATAAATAAATAAATAGCACTGGGAGTAATACTTTGACCATTTAAGATTTGGTTTGTAGATACAGAATGTCTGAAACCTGTTGATATCATCAAAATCCTCAGAGGTTTAGTTCCCCTCAGAGAGTGAAGAACTTCGAGGAGTGATTGCTAAAGTAACATGTTAGTTCTGAGCAATTGGCAGTAGACTGCTCTGTATTGAGAAGGCAAGAGGAAGAATACTTTTGGACACAGAGAGATTAGTCTAAATTTTTTCTCTTAACTTTTTTTTAATCTACGTATTGACTGATGTTTTTGGAAGTCTGCTTATGAGTCAAATCTTTCTATTATGCACAGTCTATAAATCATAACTGAACTGATGAATATGTCTACAGACTGTGAGTTTCCTCAGTAATTCTCAGAAGAGAAACACAGACTTAGGTGAATAAGAGCAGTTTATGAATGGAATGCCCTAGTGAGATTATACTTTGTTTTTCCAGGATTGTGTTTGAGAACTGATGTCTCAGCTTGTGCTAAAATCTGTAGTGCCATTTCATGTTCACCTCATGTGCGGTATGACTAGAACGTGGTTCTTTGGTAACCTTAAACATTTCTTCATATAAAGAACAACCAGATAGTTTTTTCTGGTTTCATGTAATTACTCTGTCTTCATGAAAAGCTTATATTTATCACTAAAGGGTTTTACCCTGTGCACAGTTAAGTGAAAGGGAAAGCAACTACTGATTAAGTCCATGCCGGGGTCAGGTTCTGAATTCCTCACAGCAGCTTTTTGCAGTATAAAAATCTAAACCAGTACTTTGCAACCTTTCTTGCTTGTTCAGGTGTGGTGTATTTTTGGAAGTGTTTGCTGCAATAGCAGCTTATGTTTGAGGAGTATAATTAGTTCTTTTCATTATGTGTCAGAAAAGCATGTTAATTCTGCAGCCTTGGTTTTCTACGTGTTAATAGTTTCTATTGAGTAAAAAGACACTAGAACTTTAAATGTTTTGACAATTGTTGTATGGATACATGTAGGCAGTAGCATTATAGAGTATTGAACATTTTCAAAAAGTTGTTTTTTATTTCTCATCCTTCTATGAAGATATGACAAACTCTCTCCAAAAACAGCTTTTGCATTGCACCCTAAAATTGCCAAACGTCACAGTTTAGTTCAGCTCAAAATGGGAAAAACAAATCACAGCGCTCACAAAAAAAACTTGGTGCCAACAGAATCTCACCACTTGCTTTTGGGCAGCAGAGCAGGGCTGGAAAAGCCTAATTAGTCATTGCCATAGAAGTAGTTGTGCAAGCATGTTTTTTCCATTTGTTACTAGTTCCTCGTAGTGCTTTCATTAATTGGGGCCTGAACATAAACACCTTTCTTACTGGGTGCTTGAGGTTGAGGAGAGTGGCTGGGATTAAGCTGCTAAGAGATATAAATATGTATGCTGCAAGGAGATGGCTGACCAATTACAGCTCCTCCATCACTGCTGGCACTGTTTACTTGAGATGTAGCTTTTGCCCGGCTGGCTCTGCTTGCAAGGCACGTGGCAGAATATTTCTGCATTGCTAAATGACAACCGGTCGTTGATGCTAAGAAGGATGATGGCACTAGTGCTTATGCTGTGGATAAATACCCCTTTTTGGTGAGGGGGTGTACATCTTTGGCTCTCATGCAGTCATGAAAGTGGGCTATTCTTGCTTTGCTTTTGTCAAATTTCATTCATATCACAATTTTTCTTGGCTTATTGACAGCTTGAGGCAACAGCTACTAATTTCCATAGACTTTAGAGGAAGATAGTGTCAAACGTTCAAAGCAAACAGGCAAAAACATGTATCTGTCATATGAGAATCATAGAGTTTATTTGCAGCAATGGGAGGTGCACATTTTTTTAAGGAGTGTTTCCTAAGGATTTCTGGCTTTTAAAATGAGAAATACAGATCACAAGAAGAAAAAAAATTGTTGAGGGGAATTCTTATTCTTTTCACCTAACATCACGTTCTCTCATGTTTTTGCACTGTGGTGAGGGCTAGAAATACCCTTTTAAAAATTAAATCTAAGCTGCTCACATAATCATTAAAATACAAAAGGTGGACCTTCAAACAGGCAAAAATATCCTAGGGCATTTAGGTCTTTTCATAATGCCTGAGTGAGTTTCATGGTGAATGGTTATGAATGATGAGCAGCCTTGCTGCTGAAGGGATTGATTTTCTTTTCCTTATTCTCTACCTCATACCTCATAACTTCTTGCTTGTGCTACCCTTTTCTGTATATTCTTACTTCCTCATCTGTTTTTATCACCTGCTCTCCTTTTGCCGCTATTGTGCTCTGATTTCTCCCCACTTTTGTCCTTCAACTTTGTTGGAACAAAATAATACCCTTCTTTTTCACTTTGCATAGTCATGGTATGTTTTTATTTAAGGGTGATTTGAATTTTGTGAATTTAATGGAAATGTATGAAAGTAGTGTAGGAGTATGATTTGTACTTCTGGAAGAGAAGAAAAAGAAACAAAACAAAACATTTCCATTTGCTTTTGGCATTTTTTTTTTAGTATGTACAGAGAGAGATCTATTGATCAAATATCAAGTTATCAGTTACTTTAATTGACATTAGGGCTTCTAACACCTCAAAACTTATATTTTGAGCCAGATGTCAACTGGTTAAGTTTTGGAATTTGGAAAAAGTTGAAGCCCTTCTTTAATACTTTAGAGCAGGTGGAAGTATGTCTCAGTATTGGCCCTAGAGTACTGTGGTCTTTATGTACATTTCCATTCTCCGTGAAAGCATTTCTGTTTGAAGGCTTTAAAAGAATTTTCCTTTAAATTCTAAGATATTTTAATGTGGTTTAATACATTTTAGAGATTGAGAAAAACAAAGCCTGTTTTCACTTAACCCTTCATTTGTGACCTGTAGACTTAAGTGGAAAATAAGCCTTGTACCCAAAGTGAACTTTCCTGTTTTTCAGCTTCTTGTTTCTCCACAAAACAAAGAAATCAAGTGGGTAGAATTTAGAAATGACATACAGACAATGTTTTGGCTCCAATAGTAGTATTCAAAACAAGAGGCCTGCTTAAGCAGTTTGACATTGGTATTTCTTTTCTTTAGCTAAACTGTACCTCCCTCAGAGATTTGTACCTGATTTTGATCGTACCTGAAAAGACACTCCTCCTGAACCTGCAAATCCCAAGCAACAAGAACAGATTGTTAGCTTTCCTCCTCGTTATGTGACACCTCACAGTAATTAGTTAGCAATTAGTGGCTTAAAATTGCAAAAGAAGGTTTGGTATGGAGTTATTTAAAAAAAAAACAAAACACAAAACCCCAAAAAACAACAAACCTTTATTCTAGCCTTGTATTTTTTAAAAGTTTTCAGCTCCCACTCTAATGTCTGACATCAGAGTTTAATCTACTGCAGTGCCTTAAACCAAGGCTCTTGTGTGTTTTGCTAGAGCAGTTGTGAGACTGTGACTACACAGATATTTAAAACCCTAATGCAGATAAGGCGTCTGCTTTTGTAGAGTATCCAGAACTGCAACTCAACACAGTTTTTTTGCTGAGTGGAAATTTCTATAGAAAAGAAATGTGTTTAATCAAGGAATTAAGGTTTCTTTGAAAAGCAACCTGCTTTGTTTCTTCTCTTAGCTTTTATGGTATTTAATCTGACATTTTCAGTAGGTGCCAATGATTTTCTTATTTGTTTTTCTCCTAATTAAATTAACCTAATAAATTGCATTATTTTAATATTACTGTAGAGAAATCCCCATTCTGTTTTGCCTGCCATTTAAAAATACCTTGGAGTGAAATATTTCAAAGATTTACAAAAAAAACAGTTTTTCAGACTGAGAATAGTGATACAAAGTTTAAAAAAAGTCTTTAATTTAAGTCATGCACACTTTGAAATTGAAAATACATATTTGCCAGCATTTGTTTAAAGTTAACCATACAGGTTCATAACCAACATCATGTTCTGTCTGCCAATTTATTCTGCTTTTCAAAAGGATGTTCCCATTTATAGATGGAAGCTCAGAATGGGATTAGTTCTACGCTGTTACATTAGTAGCAGAAAATCAAGATGTAGCTAGTGATCTTCATTTGCATCTTAGACACTTAATCTATCTGCCTCCTTTGAATAACTGGAGTAGTGAGTTCTGTGGGACTATGCCTCACCTCAGGCACAACAGAAATCCTTGTCTTATTTAATAAAAAAAGGCTAATGAGCTATGAAGAACGGTGGGGTGGTCACTGGGCACAATTTGGAATGTCAGAGGAAAAGTAGCCTCAGGCCTAGCTAGAGAGAGAAGATCACCTGCTTCCCACCTCACATGCCCGCAAAAGTAAGGAAAAGGAAGATATAAGGCTACGAATAAAGCAGTATTAAAACAGAGACAGAATACTTTTGATCATATTTTAAAGTCTTTCCATTTGAATTAAGAAGCCAAATATTCTGGTTTTTTGGCAGTGCCACTTTAAATAGAAGGCTTATTTTTAGGGGCAGAGATCATCAAGATAGCATAATACAATTTTTCTTTCCCATTTATAAGGGCTGTTTTTTTGATACTGGAAAACTTATTTACTCTTAACGTATGTTAGAGTAATAGATGTTTTGTCTGTTCTATGTAGCTTTGTTTCTAAATGCTTCTTTCCAAAATTCTTTTTCTGGTTAGTTTTACTTAGGTTTTGGCATTTCTAGAAGACAAACAAGCTTCCAAATCAGCATTCTTTTCCAGCTCTTTGCTACTGACACATTTTGCCTGTTAACCAGTAGTTACAGAAAAATGTTTGTAAGTTCAGAGATCATGTTAAAACACCTATTAATTTGATTGAGAGGTGGAAAAAGAAACTAGAGACTGCATCTCTTAGTTTTTAACTTGCAGTTGTCATCGGGTTTAGAATATTAACTTATTTTAAGTAAAATATGGGTTGTCACTTCTGCAGTTCTATTTAAAATATAATTCCTAACAAACTAACATTGTTAACAGAGGGTGTCATGAGACAATATAACATGTTCTTTCAAACTCATGCTTCTGTGTGCTTGGATGTACTTGGCATTATAAATTAGAAACTCTATATCAAATGTACGTATTAGGCTTTCTTTTCAATTTTTCAGATTGAAAATATATAAAACACAAAAAAATCAAAACAAGACAAACATCTGTAATGCATTTGGTAACCACAATGCTGAACATGCTTTTTGAGTTTATTAGCTCAGTAAGGAATAAGTTGTTATGGTAATTTCTGTAGAGAAGTTAAAGTGTGTTATGTATTAATAACAAACAATAGATTTGTTCACTCTGCATGGGTGGGCCAGACTGAGAGCATAATTAAAGCATGGTTTTGTGGAGAATCAAGGAGTGGTTTTAACAATAATTGCCATTTGCAAATAAAATGTTAATGGTGATTTGCTTTTAAGTCACTAGGTATTCCCAGGACCTAATCCTTTCACTTGTGACCAGTGAGAGTTTATTTTGAGCAACAATAGCATTATCATGCCCCTGGTTGACCATAAAACTTATGAACAGTTGTAAAATCTGGAGAGGTTTTAGGTTAAATGAATTTGCCCTTTCTGTGTGGAGGACAGAGAGCCTATGCCAGGGATGCACGAGGGTGACCACAGAGGTCTTGCTGCAGAATCATGATATCATTCGAGTTAATATCATATTTTTGAGTGTTACTGGTAAATATTATAGTGCAGGATTAGAGAGTTGCTGAAGTTAAACTGAACATATGGATGTGGCATTTAATACATTGAATAATCTCTGTTGAACAGCAGTTCCTCCAGTTTGTGTTTTACTATATATGTTGGGCATGGTATTGATGGTGTACTCACTTAATTTCTTCTTTAAGGATCCACCCACGTCTGTGTCTCTTGGACTCCGAATGGAAGAGATGATTTTCAATTTAGCAGACACACACTTATTCTTTAACGATTTAGAAGTAAGTATTCATTCTTTGAAAACACGTAGAGGTGATTTAATGTTTGTCTCTTTTTATGTGTTATTAGATGGTTTGACAATTATTTTGGATTTCACAGTTTTAATATGGAAATATTTAGAAAATACCTGTGTAATTTAATCATTAGGATGTAGCTAAATGTCTGCACTTGCATTCAAAGGTTACAATAGTTTAAATGGTAGGGTTTTGTCCTCACAGTTCTTTGTCTTTATGACCTCAGCAGACAAGTTTGAGAAGTGAATACACCAAAAGTGTCTATAAAATTAGAATTCAATAGTCTGCACAGGCCATTAAATATTAAACTTCAGCTTCTATAAACAGTTAATGCCTGGGTACAGATTTCTCACTTTACAGCCCACTGTGGGCAAGTTTTACCTTAAACTTGAGGAGAGCCATTGATGTTGTTTTCACTGTCCATCTCCATGGCCTGTTTCTGGGGGTCTTCTGCTTCCCTGGTGGCAGGTACGATTTGTTACAGGCCTCTCCACCACGGTGTGCGGTGAGGAGCTGGTGTCGGCGTGCCAAGGGCTTTTTCAGCCTGTGTAGGCTCTGGTTTGGTGACACTTGTGAGATTGTTCTAAATCTATCCAAACTGCTGAAAGAGACTGTCACCATAATGCCTGGCTGCTTCACCTTAGAAGGGAAAAAAGCAATTTCTGATCGTATTTTAATAACACAAAAACATGAAAACAGTCAGATTTCTTTCCCATCATAATGAAGACAGCTGTTTATTTAAAATCCAACTGTTAAGCAAGCTTGTGGTGGGGCTGCCAACACACATTAATCATCAAGTTGTTGTTTTGCTAGATTTTAGAATAGTGTGTTATTCCAGACAGGCAAAAGAATCTAAAAGATTCAAATGCAACTTTTGCTGATCAAAGTTAATTGGCAGCAATTGGCCTTTAAATATTTCCTGATGTTTCCCTTTTCAAAATCAAGCAAAATACACCTTATTTAATAGATGAGCCAAAATCATTTGAAAAATGCCAGTGTGTGATAGACCTCAAATGTGGTTTGTCCAACATCTGTCCTATATTTCGATTTCTTTTCATCTAAAAAGAAACCATTCACAGATGATTTGGCATCTTAGAATGTAATGAAATTATTTAAATGGGGGTTGGTTTTTTTTTCCTTCCTTTCCTTAGTGGAGTATTTACTTTTTTATACTTACAATAAGATAGATTATTTCTTTAAATTTTAAGCTAATGTTTTCTTTCATTAAGGTAGCTATATGTAAAGATATGATTGTTTTGGATATAAGAAACACCATTAATTGTATGTGTAGGACTGATTTTTCTGATTTGTAGAAAAGTATAACAATGCTAGTTATTTTCCAGATCTGTTTCTGATTTCTGGTCATGTTTAATTTTATCCAGAGCAGAAAGAGAAAGTACTACTGTATCTTACCAGTATATTCAATAAAGTTTGCTGTGTTTTCATTTGCTGTGCGTAGCCAGATATTTAGTAGACTTGTAGCTGCTACTTCTTGCATGTTTGTTAGCATCACTGACTTCAATGAAAGTTAATCAACCCCATCTTTGGAGTAGTAGATTATCTCCTGCTAATTGGCATGTTATCACCTTAACTGTACAACATAGCATTTTATTCACTGAAGAACTTTGAAGCTGTGGATGAAAAAAATGCTAATCCAGGTGGTTCACAGAACTACAGGAGCTCACTGGATGAGCTTGGTTCTTTGCATTTCTCCCATAACAAGCCAGTTTATCATGTGTCCCCAGACTCAAGTGTAATAGTCTGCATCTATACCCCAGTCGGTCTTCTTCATACACAGAGGCACTTAGAAATCAGCAGTTGTGTCCATGTCCTTGTACATGAGGTCTAAGTCCTTATTTCTGAGGAACATGAGCTCTGAGCTGAAAGATCATGGCCTGTCCAAGGGAGAGAAAAGCATGTTCAGTGGTGCAGAGGAGTAGATTTGTGCTTGTGGATTGCCATGGAGTCTTCAGAGAAGCAGGCAGAGAGGGGGGATAAGAGAGCCCATACTTTGTGGGAATGAATGTGGTCCTTCCCTTTGTGGGAAGGAGATCTGGCCACAGACTGAGGCTTTCAGTTCACCAGAAAATTCAGGTTGTTTGAAACATGTTGCAGACATGTGGTGTTTTTTAACGATTGTGTCCTCCTGGAGATGCAGTTTGTCACTCTCGTGAGTGTCACTATTATTAGCAGGGCCTGCTGGGTTCCCAAGGCCTGAGACTTTGGAACAGATTCCTTGCATCTATCTCAGAAACTCGAGAGTCCTCGCTTGGTGGCTTGGAAGTTCAGTCTGCCTTACAGCTTGACAGACTTCCATGAAAACTGGGGGCAATTTGGCTTGGCTGTGCCTCAGGCTTAAAGCATCTGTTCTTGCTGATGAAGGACAGAGCCTGGAAGATCAGGTAGTGACCCTGCTCAGATCTAAGCTTTCCAATCCCTGTGCACAAACATCTGGGCTGTTAGGAATCAAGGCGTTTGTAGGCAGCTCTGCCAGCAAGCTGCAGGGTTTGGGCATTTTTGCCTAGAAATAGTATGAAGACGGGCAAAGCTGGATTTGGAACATGTCTAACCCACAGTGTAGACATGTCTTTGAGTCTAGGCATAATTCAAAGTCGGAACCTGAAAGTTGATGCTCACTAGCTCACCCAGACTCAGAGGGAACCCTTCCTGCCATATAGAGAGGCTGGGTTTACGGGCAGGCAATCATCTGTCATAACTTTGGCCTAAGATGCACATTTTTCCAGATACCACAAGTTAATGTTTTTTAATAAAAATCTTCTTTTCATCCGATACATTCCAGAAAGTACTAATCAGAACAGCTCTCTTTGTCAGCCAAGTTAGGGGGAAAGTATTTTGTCTTCTTATTAACCGCTGAAGTCTGGTTTAACATTTTGAATGCAAAGGGCAGAGTTGCAGCAGTGATCTCCAAAGCACTGCTTGATTTGTGTATGACCTAACTGGCTTTTCAAAGCTGAACCTACAGATTTAATTATGTTATTGGGTTAAATTCTAAATTTCAGCAGCTGTTTTTTAGTCTGTATAAAGTGAATCAATGCAAATGTATATCAGTTGCAAACTAGTTTATCCGTTGCAAATTAGTTTATCCATTCTCATTTAGTAAGGGATACAGCCAGGTCTTATTTCCTATATGTTACTCTTTATGTAATGATGATGATGATAATAATAACAATAACAACAACAACAACAATAATCATCATAATCATTATTATTATTTTAATTGGCAGTTTTCAAACTCAGTGAAGATATTCAGTCAGATCTCACTGTCTAGCTCCGAGGTCAGTAATCTGTTTATGAATGTGTGAGCTGCACTTAGATTTACAGTTAGTTGCTTCACCCTTAATTTGTGCTAGTCCTTAGTTTATTGCTTTGGGAAAAAGTAAGAGAGATCGCTTATTTCCTTCACTTTGCACAGATTTATTTTGAGTAATTAATTCCAAATTGATATAATAGCAATAATTTCAGTTCTTGAAGGAACATTTCTTAAATGGCATGTTAAGGGGGTATGACAAGTTTTTTAACATACTGGAAGAAAAACATTAATGTTTATTAATGTATCATTTGATCTAAGTACCATAATAAAGAATGATTTCTTACATTAATAGTAATTTCATGATTAAATGATATGTTAGGTCAAAAAGTAGAAAATAATGCAGTGTTCTCAAAATTTAGGTTCCAAAATCTGTATTTGGGCTTCAAAATAGGTAATTTAGATTTTCAGTACTGGACATTTTCATTTAAATATCTCATACTCTGCTCTGTAGTAGAATTTTAATTGCGTGCAGGAGGGTATAAATACATTGATGTAGTGCTCTCAAGAGAACCAGAGTTATCTCATCACAAAAGAATGTGTGATTTTACATGCTGATTATGTTGTGATAGGGATAATAAGATATAATATTTTAATGGTATGTATAATAGTATGGAGCAATTACACATATTATGTGGATGTATGCTCCAGTGTTTTAGGTAAATTAGCAACTTGAGGATAGGACTGAAACGTAACATCTAACTATATACATCATTAAAGATTGTATATATTTACATAGTTATACTGACCCTCTTAAAATATTGGTTTATTCATTTCTTTAGCATATCAGTGCACATTATAACTAGGTATGTTAAAGGAAAAATTGCTGGTAGTGAGTGATAATGAAAATCTTATTTTAAAAAGCTAGTTCAATGCTTTGCAAACTCTAGTCCAAAATGGTACCACCTCATTAGGTCTATTCCTTTAGAGTTATTTACCAAAGCTGGAAATGTCACTTATGGAGCCTTTTAAAACAAAACTTACCTAACACTTTTTATGAATAAGATACTTGGTTTCTTTGTCTGTGTTAAATTCTATTGAAGTAATAAAAATCAAATTAATTTGTAGTTTTCTTTTTTTTTATTTAGGCTTTTTATTTCTGCTTGTTCATTTCAGGTTTTTGGCATGTCCTTTTGTAGGATTCAAAATAAGGCTTTTTATATTATGAAACTAAAAAAAAAATTAATCATTTTGACACCTCCAAGAAATGCAATAATGCAAAAGGGCACAGTAATGATGGTTAGCATTCAGTTTTCTTCCATCAGTGAAGGATATATAATGCACACTCATGGCTCCACAATTCAGTTTTGTTTGTGGAATCTCTGTATACAAAGTGATGATATGTGTATTTATGTCATTTATGTCATATGTGTATTTTAGTCATTTATGATGAATCATAGAACAGTTTGGGTTGGAAGGGACCTTTTAAATATCTGGTCCAACGCCCCCTGCGATGAGCAGGAACATCTTCAACTAGATCAGGTTGCTCTGAGCCCCATCCAGCCTGACTCTGAATGGCAGCATGGTATGAGTTTTTCAGCTACGTTAGTTGATGTATTTCTCTTAAGGTTAAAAGAGGAGGGAATGCTATTAGATATTTCTGTAAAGTAGTTAACTTTTGTTCTTTGGGAAAAAAAAGAAAAGAAGTTCTAATGGTTAA